AGTGCAGCCTTCAAAAAACATATTTAACTAAGTAATTTTAAAAGTTTTATACATAAGATATTATAATTGAAAAATAAAAATATTATCAATATATGTATATTGAATAAAGAATTTTATCTATATGTATATAATATATTATACTCGTCACTCACTGCTGCAAATTGTTAACTTCTTCATTCTAGTATGTGCTAAAAATTTATGGATGGGAAGAAGCTTTAAACAATTCCGACAAAGTTTGGTTTCTGTTTCTAAAGGCTCTTGCAATTCATTATCTTTAGATTCAGTAGTAATACATTCACAACCGCAAATACCATACATTCTTATAAAATTCAAATAAGTATCTGTAAAAGAATATACATATTTATAATATTATTACTAAAAGTAAGCATAATTATTAACGCTATAAAATAATAGTAAGTATACATTGCAAAATAAAATAAAAAATGGGAAACTCCAAATAATTAAAACTTTATTTTTCCTTTTCTCTAATTAAACTTTGTGCCAAAATTTATGGAGATATAAAAGTATTATTCCTTCTTACATCTTTTAAATTTTAAATTATGTTTAACATTTATATTTAGAAATATGTCACTATTATCATATTGACATTATTTATATAATAATAATATTAAAATTATTAACAATACATTATTATTAACATTAATATGTTGTTAATAACTAATAGTAATAAGTCTATCAATTGTTATTAAAAATAATTTATTAATAGCATCAATTAATTAATAGCATCAATTATCTTCTCAATTATCGCTGTTTCATTATAAATAATAATAATAATATTATTATCATATAATATTAACAATCTTACGTGTTATTCTTTCCTTTAGATAACCGAGCGATAAACCCTCAATTTTACGATTTAATAATGTAATCTCTTGATCCAATAATGATAATAAATTCAATGCCTCGACACAATTGTGTGTTTCAACCCACTTTTTCAGAGTTATCAATAATTTCATTCGTTCTTCTGAGCTAACATTGCAATTGTTCAGTGCATCGTAAATTTCTTTTAATTTTCGAGCATTTTGAATTTTTATAGTGATCATCTCTACGAGTTTATCCTTGTAACTACTCCATTGTATAGGCTTGCAATTCACTGTTAAAAATCTGAGAGCCTTTTGTTTCTGATATAATCTCTTGAGCGCTTGTTTATGTTTATCGATTTGGTCGAACATTTTAACTGTCTTTTCTACAATCCTGTAATTCTCAGCACGCTGACTTGCCTTGTCCAGCAATTTTATATCTTTTAGATGATCAAATCTCCATCTTTCTACCAGACCATAAAGCATGTCAAAGTCCGCTCTCGATCGCGGATATATTTGACGAAGAGTATTCTGTTTATGTCGTAATCTGCAAAAAAGAATAATACACGAGTTTATAGAAAAAATTATTCTCATATTTTTAAAATTGCAAAAATTTTTCTTATGTCTTTCTATCCCTAACATTACGTAAAACGTACTTGAAATGGTATATCAGATATGTATATTTTTTTATCATGAAATAGATACTTTTTCAAGAAACATTTATTTTTTATTTAACCTTTTGTGGACCGACTCCGTTTAGAATCATCTTTTTTTAGTTTTTAAATAAACTATTTATGTAATGTAAAACTTGGCCTATAAGATAATTTGATAATGTTTTATTCGAACATTGAGGTAAAAAAAAAATCGAACTGATAAATTTAATATGACGAATGAATTCTTAAAAATAATTTAATTATCATAAAACTCGATAGAGTTTTTAATTGTAAAGTAACACGTTTTTAGTTTCGTTTTATTTGAAACTTAATACTACGTAAACAGTTATATAGTTACTGCATAAGAGAGAAAGAGAAAGAGAGAGAGAGAGATTTTCAAACTCTGATTATAAACTCTGTTCCATCAAATATACCAAGTTACGACATGTAACGTACGTTATAATATAACACACACGTTACAGTTATATTGTTGAGTGGGAAATTATAACTAACGGGTTGATCGTTACATGTAATTTGGTGTTTGTTGGGGTGACACTAGATCCTTTTTATAGAAATTAATATATGTTTGTAAAATTCGATATTTTCTGGCTATATTCAAAATCAGAGATATTTAAAAAAATCTCCTATAACCGAGTTTCACGATAATCAAATTATTTATTAAAAATTTAGATTTAAAAAAAAATTGTGGATTCAGTGATTCAACAACCTTGAGAAAATAGGAGGTTTCAAAAAAATCATTTTGTTAGAAAAAAACTTCCGCGTCATTAAAAAGGTTAATGTCAAATAAATATTTGCTTTAAATTTTGATTTAAAGTTTTTATCGCTATGAATCAAACAGAACAAAATAATAAATTAACGTATTTAAAAGTTTCCTTTAATAATAAATAGTTATTAATAATTATTTTTTATTAATAAATATTTTCTTTTTCACATTTTAAATAGTATATATCATGAATTACTTGTTTGCAATGACTTTCTCTTCTTCATATTTCTTACATTTCTCAAGCTTTTCGCGATAAGCACATGCACATTCTTTGATATATTTCCTCCATTTATATGCCCGGTAATTTCTTTGAATTACACGTGCGTGCCGATCTAAATTAAGCTGTATATCAGCGTAGCTCTCATAAGATTTTACAGTCATGTATTTATCCGCTTCATTAGGTACATAATAGCCATCTCTAAATGAACATAAAATATTCAGTTGACACCATTTACAATTGTTGTAGGTATATTATTTTCTTATAAATATATATTATAATTTCTTCAGAAATTTAAAGTCAGTTTTTTACTTAAAAATTCAATACATATATACTCAGAGAAAAAGACATGGCAATTATATAAATTTTATGTATTAAAAACTAAGAATTAGTATATACAATTGAAATAAATTAGTAGAAATAAATTAATCGTTATTGCAATTATAAAATAATGTATTCAAATATATACCTTAATTTAAAAAAGATAAGTAACTTTTTTTTTCTTTTTCGCAACCGTTTGAAGATCGTTTTATTTCTACATTTTCTTATGTATTAAATTTTTCTTCATGAAAACCAAAAATTATCATAATAATGACACTCAAAAATTGAAATAAAGAATAAAATCCTTATTGAAATCGTTACCAAATCGCTCAGATACATATGCTTCAATCATTTCAAAACTAATTCAGAGTTGATTCTTTGAATCAGTAGTGAAAAAAATTGTATCCTTTGTACAGTTATATATCCATATTATATAGTTGCTACTACTATATTTTTTTCTCACAGTAAGTATATTCAGTAAGATATTCATTTTAATTTACTTATTTCTTATAGAATTATTATATAATTTAATTGCAAATTAATATATAATAAAGCTAATATAAGAAATGCTAAATTAAAAACTATACAAATTAAGATATGTATAATAATTACCAATTATAGATTAAGTAAAAATGAAATTTTATTCCTGTGTTAATGTAAAAATTCTTTATTTCAATTAATATTAAAATTTTTAATATTTTCTGCTTAGTAATCACTACAATTTAATTTGTAACTAATTACATATTATTACAAATGTAATATCCATATAAGAGAAAATAATTTTATTATTATTATTTAATATAATATCTCCATAAATTATGTAATTAGATGCGATGTTATATGTGCTTTGAAGAGACGTCATATAAATTTATTTAGTACCGCAACATTTGTGTCGCACGATGACGCAATGATTGTGTTGCTTCGTCATTCGTTTGCACACATTGTATCGCTCTGCAGTTTATATTCTTTCGTGGACCTCGCTTTGACAAAGGTCCTGTTTGAGATTCCGCATTTACATATTTTACTCCGGTAATTTTATGTTGCCACCCACCCAAATAAGGCTTGAAAATCCTTTGTTTTTCAATTCTAACCGAGGTCATCTTAAAAAAATAGTGGTTATCAAAACTCGATTTTTCTTTTATTTATATCGATAATAAATTTACAAATATACTTGGCGTCATAATCGTCCCGACTTTTTCTAGATAAACTTTTTCAGATTACGATCTCGCATATACACTATTTATTTAACTTCAAGCATATTATTTCTTTCATTAATATACATTAAGTTAATGTACAAAAGGAATGCATTAATAACATTATATTAGTTATAAAAAAATAAAAAATAAATAATTATACATTCTCTTTCTATAGCTCTTTATTGAATTAATTTTTTAAAAAGTGTTTACATGATACCATTGAATTACAATGTCAGCAAAAATAAAAAATAGATACAATTACAAAGTGTCAAGGATTAAAAGCGCAAACAGCAGATTGATCTATGCTAATGTTTTTAGTTTTATACACAAATGTCACATACGTTTCAATCAATATATATATATATAGGTCATTATCAATGTTAATACTTAAAAATATAATGCTAAAAAGAACATTTCTAAAATCTACATTTTTAATTCTATACTTTTAAATTACAATTGGATATAATATCTTAATATAACGCCTGTATAATTTACCTCTCGTATCGTAGATTATACGTTAGAAACGTTCTTTTAGCATATTATATTTTAAGTATTAACATTGATAATGATCTAAATGTATTGGTCGAAACGTATGTGACATTTGTGTATAAAATTAAAAACATTAACACAGATTAACTTGCTGTTTTGCGCTCTTAACACTTTGACACTTTTGTAATTGTTTTTATATACTTAAGCGATAATTATATTGATTAAAAAATAGATATTTTCTACATCAATTTTCTGAAAACATAATAGCACAAAAAATTTTAAGAAATTGGATTTGCATCAATATAATATTTATATTATAAAAATAAAATTCGAAGATATTAAATATCATTAAAAGGATACGAGAAAACCATATCTATATTAGAGATCTTTACCACTTTCTATATTGCAGAATGTATTTACATTCACATCAATTTGTAATTCTCGAGACTAATACATTTATTTATAATATTTATTATATTTCTTTTAATTAATATTTGATTTCATATAAAATAAAAACTTGTGTATAAATATTTCCTTCCAACAACAAAATTACACAAAACAGTATGTCAAATGCATTTAAGATTTACAATTATGTTCAAATAATGGAAAGAAACAAAAAGATCATTAAAAAAAATTTGAAATGAAACATATCAAATTAAAGATATTTTTCCATATTTTAGTGAAATTAAAATAAATAGTTCTTATATTGTGACAAAAATTGACAAACATGATTTAAGTAATTTTAATCAGAGGAAAATGCCGATGACAAGAAAAATCGAAAATCGGTGACTCCCTCGAATCTTTTTTGTGTCCGTCAGCTAATAGCTTCAGCACTACAAAATTCGTTTTTGCTACTTTCAATAGATTATTTATCTGCAAAACAGAAATTAATTTAATGATAAAAATAATATTCTAAAACAGTTTATACAGATATAATATTTTTATATCTGAACTCACTTCATTTTCTATTAAACTATTTGATGGATAAAGCAACAATGCACGTTCCAACATATTTCTAGCCTGATGAAAATGTCGACAACCGGCAACATATTGCATTTCACTGGTAACTTTTTCCTACAAGAATAAAACTAATATTACATTTATCATACGACAAATTTTTCAAACGTGTTAATTGGCTGTAGAATAGAGAAGTTCTCAAATCTTTCCATCCTATATTCAATTATCACGCTTAAAATATTTATCATACAATAAATGTAATAATAGCCTAAAAGTTATAAATTACAATTTTAATTTAGCCAACATTAAAAACGTTTATAGTGCAATTTTTATTTGTTATGGTTTTGTTATAATTTAAATGTAAAGCATTTAAATTATCTTAAGCATTAAACTTACATTTCTTTTATGCATTTGAGCATTTGTCATATCTAGAAATTCTTGATAGTGAACAGGTGGTGGCGTTAATAAAGACGAAAATGGCAATAATCTATGCTCATATCTCACTCGCTCGGAATCAAATTGTATCTCTGGAAGCGGTATTTTTTCATCCATGCGAAAACCGACTAGAGCCTGAAAATTTTTAGAATTTATTATACTAGAACTGTATATTTTTTATTTGTACATTATTTTTAAAAATATAATTTACTTTATAATATCCGCCACATATATTTTGCAAAGCCTGATACATCAATATCTCCAAATTGTATGGTCTTGGTGTCGATTTCTTCTTTTTATTCTTAGAGCTCTTTTTGTTTCTGCCCTTATGAGTATCATTATGTGAATCCTGTTCCATTAAGAACGTATCAGCTCGTGTAATTGCAGATACGAGCCAGCCATACAGAAATTCATATAAATACCAAAAGATATAATGGTATTCGTGAACGGAATATAACTCGAGTTCGAAACCACTTAACAAATACATGACCATAACACGCAGTGTGTGATATAAAATCCAGGTACCAAAGCAAGCCAAGTGAGGCCTCGGCGTATCACTTTTTAAAGATAGAGTGTGTAAATAGCCATCAACTCTCTCTGCCTAAAACATGTATTTTTCAATCTTAAACTTTTTATATTAAAACACATGCTTTAATAAAAATGAGTAACGCTTTCTCTAATATTCTAGAAAATTTTAGATAGAATTATATAGATAAATACATGTAATAGATGTTTTTTTTTTAAATAAAAAATGTAGAAAGTAACTAAAATTCTACGAAGAATTCTTACTTCATCTTGTAATGTCGCAAAGTCTTCTAATAAATGCGCCAATTTATCTCTTTGTCTTGCCCTATTATGTCCACTAAGCTGCAACAGGTTTCCGAATAAGCTGACACAATGCGAGAGAAAGCTATCGACGTACTCCTTAGCTTGGTGATTCTGAAGCAATGTACTTTTTGACAGTAACACGGGTGGCGCAATAAAATTTCGTGCCGCGTCTCTCAATACGTCAGCAAAATTGTGCACACCGAATACGCGATTAGTGGTAGGCAAGTAAACAATTTGTAACATAGATCTGGACAATATACACGGACTATGACGCGAAAATTCTAAAAAAAAGTCCTAAAAAGAAATTTGTTTATTTTTATATATAAATTCACTACTAAAGAAATGTTAATGCATCACTAATTACCAAGGCCGCGTGAAATCCGACATGATTTGTGATTTTGGTAACCATTTTAAATCTATTTATTAATTCGACTAAATATTCTAAGGCATCTATTCTTGGCTTAATTTTGGTGTATCGAGGGAACGTCGGTGGCAACAATCTTTGGTTTACCATCGGATCAAATCCCATAATATTTGGATGATTAGCTATAAATCATAAATAATCATTATTTTCTTACATAAATAACATTGGTTTTTATATAGAGAGAAAACATTATGTAAATATTCATTCCTTTATAAAGAAAATAAATAATTAATTCCAAATTAAAAAAAAATTTATATGAAGAATATGTAATAGTATGTCTATGTATACTTACAAACTTCATCAGCCTTTTCTCCGCGAACTACTGTTGAAATCATAATATTAAGCATATCAGAACAATTCGATAACAATCTCTGACAATCATTTAAATTCTGTTGCAATTGCTGCTTCCGGCCCATCAATGTTAATACTTGATAGAACATTTTCGTAAATCGGATCCTCGCGTAAAGTGCTATTCCATCGTTATACTATAAATCAATATTAGTAACAAATGAATTAAAATAAATATAACAAATTAATATTATATATGGAATAGGCACAAAAATATTAAAATTATAAAATAAGATATAATTTTAAGATCTAAATTATGATCTAAACAGAAAAAAAGGTACAAAGATTTACCTCTTTCTCAGATTCAACATCGACGAGTTTTATTCGACTTTTTCGATGAAGTTCTTCTTCAACTTCCCGCAACATCGATATTGTTTTTTGTTCCGTAATATCTTGCTGTAATCTATAGCCATATGTAACGCTCTGAAAATCCTCCTCTTCGAATACTAAAGCTTTATTGATGCAATCCTTAATTATATCTATTATCTTATACACTGCATAACAGAAGGTCTTCAAAGGTTTATCTAGTATTTGTTCAGGTTGATGCAAATACAAGTTCGTGAAAACGGTTTGTGCAAGACTGTGACCTTCCAACCAAGATACTATACACGCGTATGTGGAATCTATTATTCCTATAATTTCGGCAGATGTAAAGCTGTCCAATTTGATTGCACCTGAATCGACTGCCTGGGTAAAAGTACAAGGCTTGTTGTTACCCCGATTGCACAACATACCAGCATCCATTTTTGGATCCATCATCTCGATAGCAGACATGGCTTCAAATAACCCAAACAGCTCATCATGTAACAGTTCTCCCAGTTCCAACTCTAAATGCAGAATGTAGAAAAATATACTGGCATTCCAAAAATGTAAAACATTATTATCCTTAATATTATTTGTAGAAATTAAAAAAGGTTCATAATAATTAAATCTTAAAAATCACTTATATAATAATTAAAGCATTTACTGCGATAGTGGACTAACCTACAAAACAGAGAATAAATATATTTTTCCCATGACTTTAACTTTAGAAATTATTTTCTCCATTTTTATAAAATGTAGATTAGTCTACAGTTGCAGTAAGAGCCCTTGAATTATTTTTTACCTTGTATATATTCTATAATCTAATAATACACAAACTCTTCTTTTTGCTCCCAATCTCTTTCCTTAGATAGAAATTTGACACAAATCATTAATTTTTTCATGTAAAGAATAATAAGGATAATTAATTTCAAAAATTAGTTATTGTAATTTATATGTGTATGTATATATTTTATAATTTTTTTCTATTTTAATACACGTAGTTTTTATACATAATTATTCATTAATGCAAATTAAAAGTAAAAAGGTTTTGTAATCTCCAACAATTTTTATATCCCTCAAGGATATAAGGTCACAACTAATGTAATAATAATGTATTAACATAAAAGAAAGTCTATTTTTTATATTTATAACTTATATTTAGATTTACTTTCTAATTTTATTAAAATAAAAAAATGGATATAAATCACATGAATGTTAAATACAAAGTAACATAATTTAGATTGATGATAAACATTAATAAAAGTCACAATAATCAAGAATATAATTCACAAAGAATTTACTAACTGTATAAAATATACATGTATATTATAATCAAAATATGTTTTTCTTTCAAACAATGTACTTCATTTTTTAATTCCATGTTAAACATAAAAAAATAACTAAATATTAATTTAATAACAAGCTAGAATCAAAATTTAAACATTACAATTGATAATTTCATAATTAAATATAAAAAATAAAAACAATAAATGATAATAATGGAAATTTACATTTAAAGATCGGCTAACATCTGCTCCTTTTTTCTTAAGTTTCTTTTTCTCCTTTCATCGCTTCGCTTATTTCTGTTTCCTTTTTCTCCATCTTATTTCAAATATGAAAAGCATAAAGCAGCCCAGCCAAAGACAAATAGATTCAATATTCATAGCACAAGGCCGTAGCAAAACTAATAGAGGAAGGGAGAGAGCACAGAACAGGAAAATGACAGTCGGGTTCGGGACAAAGTAACGATTTGGTAGTTAAGTACCTGTAATCGCCTCGAAGAACTCTTGAGTTATGTCCACCCAGTTATGCACGATCGGGTCAAATCTACAAGATAAAAGCAGGACGCGACAGTTAAAAAATACCGCCCTATGTTGTGGGAGTGGATGGCACGACTAGGTTAAATCACTATCGAATGCCATGACGGCGGCACGACAGACTATCGTGTCCATTGTTCGTCGGCAATTCACGTACGAGGTTTATTGCTACAATTTATCTACATTGAAACTTACGGTAAATCTTTATCCTCATTGATATCAACTGAATTCTGATCCTCCACCATAGTCGCCATTATTGTGGACGATGTTCTATGCCACTCTCGGTTGTCGCGTCAAAAATCCCTGCAAAGCATTGCAGTGAGTATCGCGGGAACCTTACCCAGCTTTAAAAATCTTGACTAAATTTAATCTTCGATAAAATTATAATTAATTAAAACTCGTTTTTATTAATGTAGATTAACTTTAATAATGCAAATTAGTAATACAAAATTAATTTCTCGGTTCAACTTACGTCTTCACCTTTTTCTACTCTTTTTTAAGAATTAAAACAAATAAAAAGTAAGTTAAATCAAGATTAAAATTAATTTATAAATTAACATCATTTAAGACAGTTTTAAAACAAGAACAGCCTATAAATACCGACTTTAAATCGAAATTCCTCTAAAATCTTGCGGTGCATCTTTCCCGCGTTGGCTTGCGTGCGAAGTATTTTACCAACTGACGAATCGCTAGAAACTTATCATTTATCACTAAATCCTCCTAATCGTTTGTCGCACGAATATTGGTGCGGCCACAATAGAAGGAATAAGGAATTAGGAATAATATTGCAACCTATCAGAAACCGTGTATTCCGGTGTATCCGATATCTGATAGATTGAAATCATTATTCCTTATTCCTAATTCCTCATTCCTTCAATTGTGACTGTACCTTAATGACTACGTTGCTTTTCGTCCTTGAAATACGAAACGCGCTCGGAATCGGAGTCCTTCGTTCACATTCGTCGCACATCCGAGAGCTCGCTCAACGACTTGAAGATTGAGGGGAGAGGAAGGAGAGTAAGCAGGGTGGTCGGAGAATCTGGGGGAATCTGGCGGTAGTGCGTGATACGTTGTCGTTTCGGTCGGAGTTGTTTGTCGTTTCGCGACGTTAAAAAAACAGTGTATGTACACATACGTCACATACGTCGCGGTGTGTGTCGAGTGTCGTTGCGTCTTATCAGTATCGCCGGAAGAGAAAAGAGAAAGAGATAGAGAGTGCGGCCTGTCGCGTTGTAAATTGTCCGCGATCGCAGTGATCGCACGAGAAACGTTTGAAGCCGGTGTTGTTACGTAGTACGGACCTTATTGCGCGTTTCGCTTCGCTTCGCTTCATCTCACCTAGTTTCGTCCCGTCCCGTCCCGTCCCGTCCCGTCCCGTTCCGTTTCGTTCCACGGCTCGTCCGGTTGCTCACCGTCTCGTCTCATCGAAACACGCAAAAGTGCATGCTACCGTAAATTGACAACGAATCTACGCGCCTCGCGACACACGGCGGAGGATGTTGGATCGCGACACGGCGATACATCTCGTCGCCGGAGGGTGGGTATTATTTTCGACCAGCGCACGCGCGCGCGCGCGTCTCAGACCCGGCCCGACCCGGCTCTACTCTATTCCGTTGACTGCTCTGTGTTCTGCGTCACCAGCCTTGGCAGATCTTCAGCTCGACTCGATCTCTCCTTTGCGATACGTTCAATTTATACGATCCCGATCGGGTCGAGGGCGATTAATAGCTTTCTCGTGACCTCTTCGCGCGGTCTCAATCGGGCTGAAACTGGAGACCACTTTTCCCGAGAGGTCGTCTTTAATTTGAAACGCATTTGACATGCATAGGGTGCTCCGAAAAAAAAAAAAAATATTTATCAAGCATTTTTCTACTTTTGAATATTTTCTTGTCGATCTGCTGATCAGTTTTCCTGGCGTTATGGTGGATTTTTTTTTAAGAATAGCAGCTGGAGACTGATAACTGATTGTTGCTGATAAAAAATTTTTAATCTGGATCTAAAACTGTACATTCACTGATAAATATCATCATTTAATATCAGGATTGCATCAGTTAAGCATGACTCTACCATTTCTATGTACTTGAATTAGCACATGTCAGATTTTTTGCCTTTCTATACACATTATGTATGTATACGAATAAAGAAAGTTCAACGCACTAATAATTAAAGAGTGGATTAAATTAAATCAAAGAACGTAAAAATTTTATAGAAATATATTATATATTAATTTATATATTAATTTGTATATTGTACATAAAAGTTAAGAAAAAATTTAATTAATTAATACAATCTTGTTTAGTCCATTTTTCATTTATTATTATGCATATATTTCGTTTATATTATATGTTATCATTATTCTGTTTGTCATAGTTATTGATTTAACATCTTGAGGGATTAACGATGAAAAATGAACTGGAATGAATTAATTAAGATCATCGAAGAACATTTAAGACCGAGTGCTCAATTATAAACAAAGTCTAATTAAAACTTTTGCATAATAATAACGAATAAAAAATAGACTAACAAGGTTGTAATTAATTAATTATTTTCCTAATTTTTATGTATACAATATACAAACTCTAATAAATAACTTTATAAAATTTTTTTATTAATATGTTTTCTAATGTTTTACCAATTTGTGAGTAATAACTTGTATTTCGAAGATGAACTCTTTAATGGCTTTCTCTAATGATGATTAGAAAAAGAATTAATATTCAACGCTAACATTTCATCAAATAGTCTCGCTCGCAATATTTTTACAAAAGAAAAATAAACTTTTTAATTTAATGAAAGGAATTATTAAAAAAAAAATTAGAACATCTATGAGAATTGAATTGTTTTATTAAGATTGAAAATTGAACACGTAAATTTTCTGTTTTTAATCCATTTAAAATGAATTTGGATTTATATAAATCAAAAATCAAAATTTCAAAAATATGGTATAGAATAGAAAGGAAGATATAATTTCTTTCCGGTCTACATTGCGTAATTAAGCAATATAAAATGTAATACAAGCAAGCATCTCCGTAATACAAACGTGAAAATAAGATAAATCAATTTCATCGCGAATGTAGTTTATAAATGCATCACTGCGATAATAAAATTAATTTGTTTTATCTCTGCGCTTAAAAGCGCTGTTATAGAAATTCACACTTCAATTATTTTTGCGTTTTTTGAATCATCTAACAAAATAAATTTCCGTCTTACGTAAATGTTTTGGAATTCTTCTGGTTTTGTCGCAGTTACAAATAAAAAGTATTGATAGATATGACAAAAAACATATAAATGCTGTGTCAGTTCGACGTCTGTATTCATGATCGCTATTCTTGTTGAGACGATTGAATTGAAGCGACACGGCGATGAAGCGCACGTGGTTGTAACTGCGACAAAATTATCGGACAATTATTTCTAATTCGAAAGAAATCACATTCAGAGCAAAATCGGGATTCATGTGTCAAAATTAGCGATTTTTTTTTAGATAATCGAAAAAAGCAACTTTTCTACAAAAATTCCTTTCATTTCTGACATACAGTACATGTTATTACGTGCAGATTAGCACGTAATCTGTATATATCAAATTCTTATCGATGATGTAGTAAATTTATCATCTTTTTATAATAGTCACGATATATACGGCAAATAAAAAGTTTAAGCATAAAAGAAGTCTGAGATTACACACATTTCTGATAACCTTAAATAACTGAATATAATTCAGCGATTGTTGGTCTTTCTAAGCAATATAGATAACCGATTTTTTTCTCTCCAATATTGTTTAACCTCAATCAGTCGAATCTACTTTTTCTCGCTCTTTCTATTTAGTGTATAATATAGTCGATATATCGCAGAGATGTTAAATCAATAATAATAATAATATTGAATAATGCAAAATAATATTGAATTATTTTAACTTGAAAAATTATAATGAATATAATGAATTAAATTGAGATGAATTTTCACGTGAAGAAAAAATTTAATTAATCGTAAAAATATTATTTATTTAATTTTTATATTATTTTATTATTATTTGGGAGTAACGTCGACAATATTTATTTGTTAAATGTTGATTTTAATATACATATAAGAGAAAAAAAATTTTAATTAATCTTATAACTGCGCCTTATTGCTTATTGTTCTTGATTATTAATTTATTTTAGTTAGTCTTATTTTTTTCTATATTGAATCAATAACTTAGCGAATTCTGATTGATTTCTATTACATTAGATATTCCATACAAAAAACTACTATATCTGAAATATTAGTAAAATTAAATATAAAAACATAAATATTTTAAACGGTTAATTCACTCAATAATAATATATCACGTTATTTAATAGAATATACATATATTATTTAATTATCAAAATTGATTATGCCACTGCAATTGGGTATTTTGTATAAAATAATCCTTTTAATGTGCAATCCAGTGTAGTGCGAGTGATTGAATTTACCATAAGATAAACAAAATAATAATGCGTAATGTCATATACACGAAATATATGCATAATAATAATGAAAAATGATGATGAAAAATAGACTAAAGAAGATTGTAATAATTAAATAATTAATATTGATACAATATGTATTCAAATCTATATCTTAATTGACATATTAGTATTGTATTATTTTTGCAGCACAGTACAATATAGTATCTTCATTCGTGATGTTGTTTATGGCTACATATTTCGGAAACGATGCAAGGTTGACCAACTAGTATTCACAACTGGCCAATGCCGAAATATAAGACTTATGTGTAAAAAAGCGTCAGATAGCGTGCCAGCTCGCTCAGAAAGGAATCTGACGACGCAGTTAATAATATATGCATGTTCGGCGCCACTTACCAACTTATATTTGCTACCTGCCTGCGCGTATACATGTACATGCGCACGTAGACACTCGTGCATATATTTCTGTAAGCTTTCGATCATACATATATGGAGTACTTCAAACAGTCAACAACTCACGATCGAATCTTTAATTACCGAAGGAATATTGAAGAATAATGAATAACGTGGAGCTATCGTTTATCTTGAAATGTGTGCGCTGATATATAGGCCAAAATTGCGTCAGCAAATGTGGCCCCGGGAGAGAAAAGATGGATATTTTATTGATACGACACGTAATGTGTAGGATCATACAGAATATACGATGTCGGTGTTCGAGAAAGTAATATGAAGCCCGCAAATTATTTCCTACAATTTAAAAGTAGTACAGGTATTTTTATCAAGGTTGCGCTTATTGATATTGCAATTTTATTCGATTATATATATTTTGAAAGATTAAACCATCAATTATTCAATTTTTTTCAAACTATTCGACTTTCACCAGCAAATGTTTTGGTATTTATCGATCTTCTGATTTCAAGACCTAATTAGAGTTAATTATATAATCATTAAAGAACAGTCTTAACGTTTATTCTATGCATTTTCGAAATTCACTTTACCAAAACCTAATTGGTTTGTAAATTTTTATAAATCAAAAACTAACGATTTAATCTGTAATGTTTATTATTAATAATTCTCTATAAATATTATTGTTAGAACGCCCAATATCTCTTTAAAACCGGTATATCGATCTTGTGATATCGAATCTTGCGTTTCCTTTTTTTTCTTTTATTCAGAACTAAATCAATTGAAAGGTCAAGTCAGTAAATTTGTATATATTATAGAGACTTAACATTTCTCGCTTGACAACAGAGAATAACTAAACGATTTATTTACTCGAAATACCGCATGTTGGAAATTCTATTCCGAAACTTCGTAAATCTATGAAACTTGTAATACTATAAGCATAGCAGAAATTCCCGCAGAAATTATATAGTCCTAATGAGAATCATAACGGGAAGCTTTTATTTTAATATTTATAATATTTGTTATATATTAATAATAATTAGAGTTGAGGACTAATTGTAAGTTCAAAAAACTTCTCTTTTGTGTTATCTCTCCTATTTGAAAGAAATTGAAACATTCTTTGCGCTCAAATGTGATAAAAGAAGTTTTGCAAAGAAATATTACTGCAGCATATTACCATCTGCATGAAAATTGTTATTCGGATTAGCAGAATTAGCGTGCAAATTTCCGATCAATGAGAGCACAAATGTGCACGTGTTTTTCAGCGTGGCAAGCTGTGCGGATTTATTACGCACAGTATGTGAATCGAACGCTAATTTACTGATCACATTCATTTGGACTTGATAAAAGGTTCGACATATACAATAGCGACTTTGCAAGTGCGAATTAGGCTAATTACAGAGGCACCATTGAATCTCGAAGAGATCAAAAATATATTTCTCCATGAAATGGTCATATGCTCATACATATAATTTGTTAAGAAGACTTTAAATTTACGATATCTAGGCTGTTTTTTTTAACCTCACATATAATATGTTTGATCTCTTATTATTATCTCTTATATTTAATATCTAATGAAAATTACTACCGCTTTGCAATTTTGCACTTTTTTTCTATTAAATTTTAATTTATTTTGAACATTTTAAATTAAAGTTTTATTAAAATTGATTTAAATCGGAATATTATAGAAATGTATAAAAAATAAGATTTTATTATTTTTCCCATTTTTTTTTTAAGTTTAATAAAATTTTTATTGTTTAATTTTTTGTAATTTATTGTGGTTTTAAATGGAAAACCCAATAAATTGATAATTCAATATTTTTGGTCTTTATCTTGTTAAATATTTATCGTTAAAATATTAGAAACTTCAAAGTTACAAATACGAACCTCAAAAAGTATAAACATGTTACTGATAACTTGTTGCAACAATAATAAAAGTTTTCTAACACTCCTGATAACTTTACAGCGCAACAAGAAATGATATAATAAGTCTAATTGGAAAGATTCGCAAAATTGTGTCAGTGAAGTTATGCGTGAGAGTTTACATTAAATAAACATTGATACTTTTGCTTCGTACGAATCGTGCAACATTTCTCATGCTTTTACCGTTATCTTAACGGTTATCTTAACGGTAATTTTTATTTTGTAATTTCTATTTAGATAAGATAAAATTAAAATCAGATTAACTAATAGCAGACATTCTGTTCTTTCAATAACCCGTTTTGCTCTGTTTGTAAACATTATAAATTAAGTACATTATATGCTGATTACAGTTGCGTACATAATCAAATTTTCCAGTCACAGTAATTATAACAAAGTTCCAATTATAATTATAATTTATAATTATAATTAGAACTTCGTTTTAATTATAATGAACCTTCCTTATATTCCTTTAGAGAAAATAACGATTTCTTTGTCAATTCTATACAACTTTAATAAAATTAAAATTGATAAAAGACAACTCTGCCTGTGTGTGTGTGTGTATTTATAAATGTATGTATTGTATATTATTTATTGTTGATTAAGTAGGTATACATAAGTACCTATATAAAATTACATTATACATTACATTATTATATATGGTTATCGTAACAAAACATCTTTATATGAGAAATTAGCAATTATGATTAGAAATAAATAACAATACTGATCCTGATCTTCTTTTATTTTGCGTAGAGTGGCTGGTACTGCAGGAGCGATAGTAACTTGTCCACTTGAAGTAGTAAAAACCCGATTGCAGTCATCGTCTTCCGGCTTTGATCCACCTCCAATAAGCAAAGAATTTACATCTGGTCATCCAACATGCAAAGGTTCACCAACACCCGAGCAACGTAGGAGGCTGTGCACTGGATACCCTAGGTAAATTAATCAAAGAAAATCAAATCGATTAAACTATTGGGTCATCTAAAAAGTATCCGCGGTTTTTTGTCACTAGATGTGTGTTGATGGTCATATATCTAGTGACAAAGTACCGCGGATACTTTTTAGATGACCCAATAATACTGATTTAGTTTTATTTCGCGAAAGTTTATTATATTATAATTTGTCCAACTTTACAAGTTGTTTTATGATTGATCCAAAGAACTCTTGGTTGATATTATCTCTTATCTAACTCCGCAAGAAAAATGATATTCGAAATTTTTTAATATGCGGATTGTATTTTAAATACATCGATCCTTAATCAGAATAAGTGATGCAAGTTGAAATTAAACACTTTTAAAGAAAAATGACACGAATCAAAATAGAGATAATGTTTAGAGATAACATAACACTGGAACAATATCTACTTGGTAGACAACTTAAAACAAGCAATTTGTGATTATGTCCAAGTTATCTCTTGTCTACCGTAATAAATAATAATTAATTTTAAAATATGTATTAGGTGTTGGAATTAATTCGTAGCGTTTTTTAATGAAAGAATGTTATTTATTTCACATGAGCATTAAAAAATACATTAATGAAAGTACTTCCCATCACTTGTAAAACGCTACGAATTAATTCCAACACCTAATAATTTTCGTGAAAAAGACGTGTTATAAACGCAGCTTTCTTTCATCTTCAGGTATTCCAGTCACTTCGTATCTCTTTCACATTTTCGTGTCTCGACTTCACCTCCGGATTCTTCCGGAAACGCACCAGGCATTTATCAATGCTTAAGGTACATCATCAAGAATGAGGGTGCACGAGGACTGTTTAAAGGCCTTGGTCCGAATCTCATTGGTGTGGCACCCTCCAGAGCTATATACTTTTGCGCTTACTCCAAGAGCAAAGTCGCATTCAATGCGATTCTACCTCCCGATACTCCGATCGTCCACGTTTTCTCTGCGTCCTGCGCTGGTAAGACTATACTATTATAATATTATTAAATTAAATACACACATATACACACACACACAACGCGCGCGCGCGCGCGCACACACACACACACACACACACATATACCGATATACTATAATTCTCATATTTGTCCAAATTTCAGTTTTAAATCTTTAAATGGATTAATTAATCTTAATAATAATTTCAATTCTAAAATCATTTTAAATTTGGATCAAATAAGTATACAGGCGGGAATTAACTTAGCAATTGATACTGTTTGATATTATAATTTTCATAGTTTTGAAATGCTTTATATTATGAATAGTTATTGTTAAGTTAAATTTTCAATATATTTTTTACATTAAATTAAGCAAGTGTTTTATGTTAAGAATAATATTTTTTAAACTACAACGTTTGAGATTTAAATGTTCCTTGTTTTTCTTTAATCTATTCGAGTTCAGTCTATTTGTTAACCATTTTAATTATTCATGCATTTTCTGCATTATATTATGATAGAAACAGTCATACTGAAGTATGATCGTGAAATGCATTCTAGGTTTTTCACATTTTTTACTTAAAATAAATGACGCCGTAACAATAACGCCGTAATTGACTAATAACATATATAAAATTTCATAGTATACGACAATATTGCATGAAAATATCATGCAAGAATATATTATTAAGCATATATACTTATTCATAGATGCCAATTCATACTCATTACTTTCGTGATCGTTAAGACAATGTTTTTAATTTTTTCCGTCACCTACTTTGAATCAACCTACAGTTTAGCTTGTGAAATGATCATAGTTTACATTTGTTTGCATTTATTACGCATTATCTCATTTAAAATTGCACTGCGTATTATAAGTGTCGCCATATATCTCTCGTATGCTATTTTTCATTGATCAGCTATTTTCGTATTATGCAATGAAGATAAACTATCTCTTTATCATGATCCAATATTCGCCAAATAAGACTTGATATAATTATAATAATATAATTAAAATAAATCCATAACAAATAATAGTGCTATAAATAATTTTTTACAAGCAATTTTATATTTATATTGCGCAGAATTTGAGAAAATTGATTGTTGAAGAAAACAAGAAACTTATAAAAAAATATTTTCTTAAAATATTGAATCTAGAATGTCTTGCGATAAAGTTAGCCTGAAATAGATTTTATTTCTCATATATTACATGTTATCTCGTCAATATCATATGATGCGCTGTTTCCTTATGTTTCCTTCGACAAATCCAATCACTGTGATGATAAACGCGCGATTAATGCTCGATGAGGGGAAAAGTATTCACATCATTCATGCGTTTATCTTTAATGGATATATCGAAGTGCGGACGTCGCATTGCAATTCTGACGCACAGCTCGAACTCTTTTGATGTCGATAACCCAGGAGAACACATATACCTGCTGGTATAATTATATTCTTTTACTCTTATTGTTTTTATTCTTATCATTATTACTCTTATTTTTTTCTATTCTTATCAGATGTTCTCAAAATAAATAAATGATCAACTCGAATAAATTTTTTATGTAAAAAACATTAAATTCTCATTCTCTTTCATTTAGCTAATATGAGTTGTCTTCTGAACATAAAAAGATATAGATAAAAAGTTTAAGATAAAAACATTGTTGAAGAGATAACTGAATTTGATGAATTGCTTTTATAAGTTCAGTTTTAATTATGTCTTATCTTTGGAAACTAAAATATCACATTTCCTTTGTAGCAATATATATATATATATGCAATATAATTGTCACTAAGCTATTTATGTTAGAAATAATAATTATAGTTGTTTACAATCATAAAATATATTATAGCTAATCATTTTAAGCAAAACATTTTTAAATATACAGTTAAAAAATTAATGAGTTTTTATATTAATTAGTTTATTACTAAATTTACATTTTTCTTACTAAAAATACATGAAGCATAAAATCAACAAACATTTAATCCTTTGAAGTTGATAGTGGATTTATTAGATCTTATACTCAGTTATAAATCTCTTTGTTAAAGATGTCAAACAATTTTGTTTATGTATTACATCTGCAAATTTAGATTATTTTTGTTAAAATATATTTACAATTAGTATTTGTTCTTTTTCACAAATATTGTCACTTCAATTTCTTTTTGATTCCTTAAAAATAATTAGTGCCTTTTAACATAAATTAAAGTGGTCTTACAGAGTCAGCTATATTATTAGGTGTTGGAATTAATTCGTAGCGTTTTTAATGAAAGAATGTTATTTATTTCACATGAGCATTAAAAAATACATTAATGAAAGTACTTCCCATCACTTGTAAAACGCTACGAATTAATTCCAACACCTAATACAAATTTTGATATCAGTTCTAAAATATTAAGAGACTTTTTAAAATGTTCTAAATATAATTTATTACCTATACAAACTTTTATAATACACTCTAGTCAGAAAATATACTTAGCGCACTTATAAATTAAAAGATGCAGTTGATTGTTTGGACAAACCTTTCTAATATTTAACGATTACACTGTTTCACGAGTTCAATATCTTCATATATCGTTTGCATACGCTGAATTGTTATGCAAATGTAATGAACATAGCCTAAAAAAGAAAACCAACAATAAAACAATCTTATACGAAAATCGACTTAGCGCCATGGAAAAATTTAAGACGTAAGGACGACTGCAAGGAAATCAACATAGCTTACGATGATGTAAGCAGTAACAGGTCCAATGTAAGCCTTACATTATGAATTTACGGTTTCTATGATTAGCCAATTCGCATTTCGCTTACGTTTTAAAGGCTTTCTACAATAAGCAATAAAAAAAAAATATATATATATATATATACATATATATAAAATAAAATATATAAACAATAAATCAGTAATAAGTTAGAAGCTAGAAATTAAAAGTCATAGTCGATTATTCTTTTCGTATTTGACTGTGACTAGTCAATTTCTATTTATTACTGATCAGTTATTGATAAGCCTGTTATTGTTTAAGTTTTTTTATGTGCCATGACCTTTAATGATTCTGTGTTATCTCATTGTACTTCTTGCCCGAAATAGCCGCTACAGAAGCGATGGAAGTATTGCATAATACGGCAATGCACTTTTCGATAAACACTTTCTATTTTTTATTTACCTACGCAATACGAAATGGAAATGCGTTTGTTTAGAGACACCCGATAAATGATAGCCAATAAGACCATTTTGCAGACGATAAAAGAATTTATCATTCGAGTTGTTGAACTCCGACCTGGCGAACACGATCCGCTTATTGTAGATCTGTTCGCAGGGGAGCCACGCAATTGACGCGTGTCTCTTCTTCTCGCAATGGGATTGTTTATCATTTGCGCCGCTTTTGCGTAAGTACAGACTGCTCAAGAATTTCTTAACTGCGACTGATTTTTCCATTTATTTAAATTCAATTTTAGTGAAAATTTATACTCGCTAACATCACTCACCATTCTCAATATCACATAAATGTCTTTATATCAAGAGTACTCCAGAAAAGCTATATCAAGAATAAATTGTTATATAGGATAAATATATAGATAAAAATTCTTATATAAATATTTTGAAAGAAATGATCATGTTCAAATAATTTAAAATAATACTGCTTTTATGGAAACAAAAGTTTATGTAGTCGTTTAAATTTTGCTTCAAGCATGTTTTAAGTCGAAATTTCATTGAATCAAGTAGAAAACAATTTTTAATTAATAAATCGCAAGAATTCTATTTTTAAATGCCTATAATACGAAATCTATGAATCTCGATTTTTTTTTAAATTCAAAATATTAAGTGTAGTAAAAAGAAATCTATTATTTTTCCAATAGATGGCTTTAGTAATCTGTATCTCGTCTACGCGTGATACAGATTATTAAATTACCTAATATTTAAAAATAATTCGACAATTGATATTTTTCATATGATTATGTGTGATTTACTTTTTTTTTATGTACTAATTTTAAATAAAAAAATTAATTTCACTATATTTTGAAATTGTAATGGCAATATTATCTGTTACAATCACTCAGCAACTCCAGTCTTCTCAATTCTTTTATTTCTATTTACATTGTATCAAACATTGATTAATAATCAATGATAACGTTTGTTCTAGAATAGAATTTAATTTCTAGCACAATTACTGTCATTGACAAGTCGAATGTCATTTGTATCATTCACATCTTGCATCTGCACGAGAATATGAATTATCTCGTCTGTGAATAATCCTATTATGCACACATTTGCACATATATGTAGATAAGATATTACATAAAATCCTACATATGTTTTTCAATCAATTTTAGTGGTCTTGTAATTAACTCTTTATCATTGTTTACCTTTAATACTTCATGTAACTCATGTGATTCTTCCAACCTTATACATAATCTCTTATAATGTTTTCTTCAATGACTGAATTGTTTTTAAAAATTCGAAATAAAAAAATAAACAGATAGACTGACATGTTTTGTAAGTAGTTATAAAAGACTAACAGGGACCACATATACATATGAATCATTAAAAAGTATAATAATCTAATTAGCGACGTTTTTTTTTAATGAAGTTACAGAAAGCATTTAATTTTAGAAGATATTTGTGTGTTTATTATATATTACTATTGATAATTTAAAAACTATAAAGTTATTATAGTTTAATTAGTTTGTTTAATTATTTTCTAATTTTTATTTATGTTTGATATTGTTATTTATAGTACTAAATCTTTATAGACAGTGTAACATACACACACATATATATATATATATATATATA